TGTAAGGGGGGCGCGGCACCCCTGACAGCTGCCATCAGGAGCCGTGCGCCTGGCTCCCGCAGCGCTGGCCCCGAGGTGGGAGCCAGCAGCACCCCTCCCTGCACGGCTGTGGGTCCCTGCATGACCCGGCGTGCGCGCCAGCAGCGCTGGCTGGGCAGCACATGTGCCGTGTGCTGGGGGGCAGGCCTGTGCATGCACCCTGCACCTGGGGGCGGCGCCAAGCGCCCGGGCCCAGGGCACCAGAAGGGCTTGGGCCGGCCCTGCTGGTAATAAAAACATAAGAATGGCCGTGCTGGATCAGACCAAAGGTCCATCCAGCCAAGTGTCCTGTCTCCTGACAGTGGCCAATGCCAGGTGCCCCCGAGGGAGGGAAGAGAACAGGGAACCATCAGGTGATGCCTCCCCGGTCGCCCGTTCCCCAAACCTGGCAAACAAAGGGGCTTGGATGCTGCCTAGAACCCGTCCGATCTTAGGGCTCCTGTCTTTGCCACCAGCGAGGGGCCTGGCGTTGCTGGCAACGGTGGGAGATTTTTGCCAGCCCGCCTTAAAGAGCGAGACTCCACCCCTCTCTCCGCCTAGCATAGGCCGCTGGCCCTTCGAATGTGGCTGCGAATGAAGGAAACCAACCAGCCTCAGTCTCTGGAAGTCCCCTGTGTCTCTGCAAAGAGTGTAACCCTCCCTCCCCCCTCCCCCCCCCCCACCGCTCCCAAGCTCTTGGGCTTTTCTGCAGTGGTCAGAAGTTGGTAATTGATCACTGACTTCCCCAGGGCTGGAGCACGCCCAGCATGTGGGTCGGGTTATGGATGGCTGCAACCCCTGTGAGTTAATTAAATTTCAGCTGAATAGCCTGTCAGGACTGGAGAGGGCTACAGGGGCGGGGGAGAGGTGGGGAGAAGTTTTTCTGCAAGGCTCAACTTTCCACCAAGTGTAGGCTGAGAAAGTGCTGATGAGCCGCAGGGAAATCTTCCGCCCCAAGTCACAGTATCCGGGCAGAGCAACAGCTGCATTCTCCTCCTGGACTGGGCGGCCTCTGGTCCCTCTCCACCCCAAGCCTGGGGAACTCACACCCCGGCCGTGACCCCCTACATGCATCCAATCCCCCCAGCCTGGTGAACCTGCACACACATCCGGCCCTAGCCACACCTCATGCCTCCTCCCTGCCCTGCGTGGGCACCTGCCCCCCACTACCACCTCCCCCAGCCGAGCACCCCCTGCTCCACCCTGGCACTCCCCAGCTAGGGCAGCCCCATGCCAGCTCCCTAGCCTTCCCCAGCCACGTGCAAGCTCCCTCACAGCCGGAAGGAAGCTGGAGGGTGCTGAGTGGATGGCTGGTTCAGAGTGCTGGCTTTTGCGATTGGAACAGCTGCTCATCCTCATCCCAGAACCGCAAGGTAGACGGTCAGCACTGCGGGGCGGTAACGTGACTGGAATAACGGGGGAGGCCGATGGGCAGCAATGAGGGGCCATGGTTGGGCTAGGGTTTGGGCACCCGCCTAGGGCTTGAGAAACTCGGTCTGGCTCTGCCACTGACTTCCTGTGTGCCCTTGGGTGAGCTCTGTGCCTCCCTTCCCCATCTGTACAATGGGGCTCAAAGCCATCCCGGTCTCCCAGGGCAGCAGGGAGGAGAAATACAGCAGAGTGTGTGGTGCTCAGATACAGGCAACGGGTCAGTTCCACAGGGAGGGCTGCCAGCTCTGACAGAAGCTATTTTGGGAGATTCCCCCCTCCCCCCCCCACAGGACGTAAGGCTATTTTCTTGAACGATCCTATTAAAATCTCCAGGACTGCATTCAGTCGTAGCCGGGAGATTGATTCTGTGAGACTCCAGGCCACGGCCAGAGGGTTAGCAACTCTATTCACAAGTCCAATTGACAAGCACTACCTCTGCTGTGATCTAGATCTCTTGGTTTCTGGTATTTCCACTCCAACTCATCTGAGGAAGTGGGTTTTGCCCACGAAAGCTCACAATTCAATCTCTTTTGGTTAGTCTCTAAGGGTACGTCTAGACGACAGGCCTCTGTCAACAGAATTTTTGTCAACAGATACTGTTGACAAAGCTTCTGTCAACAAAGAGCGTCTAGACGACAGCCAGTTCTAAAACCAATAAAAGAAAGTTCTTCTTCCCACAGCGTGTAGTCAACCTGTGGAACTCCTTGCCAGAGGAGGGTGTGAAGGCTAGGACTATAATAGAGTTTAAAGAGAAGCTAGATAATTTCCTGGAGGTTAGGGCCATAAAAGGCTGTTAGCCAGGGGATAAAATGGTGTCCTTGGCCTCTGTTTGTCAGAGGCTGGAGAGAGATGGCAGGAGACAAATTGTTTGATTGTTGTCTTCAGTCCACCCTCTCTGGGGCACCTGGTGCTGGCCACTGTGGGCAGACAGGCTACTGGGCTAGATGGACCTTTGGTCTGACCCAGTACGGCCGTTCCTATGTTCTTATGTTCTTATGTCCTAGCCTCTCCAGGGATTGTTCTCTGGACTTTCCCCAAGCCAGGACTCTGAGGGGGATTCTGGGAGCTAGCAGATTCTGCTGAGTCCTGGCATGGGCCTTGGCTCCCTTGAAATGCAGAGACCCAATCAAAGGACGCTGAAGGACAGGTGTTAAGGGGGAAAGAGCTTTTCTGGATGGGACAGGAGAAAACTTTGGACTTCCCTAAGAGATAACGTTTGGGGAAATGAGACCTTGGGGGCAGATGACAAAAACAACACTGAAACATCATTTTTTTGTAAACCGTGACAGCTAGATCACCACCCAGGCTGCAGCCATGCCTCCAATTTCAGTGTAGACGTAATCCCAAGTGGTGTTAATCTAGCTGTCATACTTGCATGGCCCCCATTACTGTAATATTTGAGCTCATTTCAGTCTGGAATGGATTTATCCCTCTCAACACTCCTGGGTGGAGGTCAATGCTTTTATCCCCTATTCACAAGAGGAAAACAGAGGCACATCAACTCGGGAAGGTACTTAGGCCCTGCTGGGCTCAGCATTGCGCTGCCTAACTGATTTAGGAGCCTCCGTCCCATCCACTCTTGATAGGTCTAAGTGACTTGCCCAAGGTTTTGTGGAGGCAGTGGCAGAGTAAGGAAGTGATCCCAGATCTCCTGAGCCCTCATGCGGCACCTTAGCCACACGACCATCTGTTCTCTCTCTGCTGTGCTGTTATTTGTATCTGTGTTGTATCCTATTGCGCGGCGTCTTTCCTTTGGTGCTGCACTGCCACTAGGCCAATGGGTGGCATCCATTTCTTGCTGGACCAGTGTTCTCGGCATCCTCCTCCCCGCAGCTGTGCTGGTTTTAGGGCCTTGAGAGGAAGTGGAACATCACAGAGGCAATTTCCAGGTCTTTGTATCAGCTGCATCTCATTGTTCCTCTCCCCACCCTCCCTGATTCCCTGTCTAACTATCCTATCCTTAACTAAACTCTCTGGGCTTGCTCCTCCATCAGTTTCTCTCATTGATAACTTTGCACAGCCTGACTGACACTTCCGGCTACACAGCCATGCTCCGGGTGAGCAAAAGTCGCCTTTCTCTTCGCCGGCCATTTCTGTTCCCTGCCACGAGGGGAGCGGTAACGGTATTTTGGTACCGATCTAATTTCTTGCTGCCTTGGTGTCCGGTTAGTGACTGAGCTGGGAGACTAGGGGTTCTCAAAGCCCCAGTTCCTGGAATCCTGTGAATCTGGGAGCATCTTGGCTGCTATTTTGAAGAGCCCACGGCTGGTTCTAGCACGGAACGGGTGCGGCGAGATGCTTGAAAATGTGACCCCACCGGTTGAAAAGCCAGAAGATAAATGAGCAGAATCCAATGTAGATTCCGGGAGCAGGATGTTGCTCTTCCTAGTGGCACATTGTGTTCACTCTGGGCCAGATCAGTATCGGGCACAACCAGGCTGGCTGCAGTACTTACATCAGGGGTGCGTCCTACCGGCCGAGAAAAGAATTTTTCTCTCTCTCTCCTTTCAGTTCCTGAACCCTGGTACGAGCACCACATCCGTCCTCAGAGCAGCCGTAGTTCCAAACAACCCCAGGGGGGTCAACTGAGACCTTGTCCGGAGACTTTCGTTCGAGAATAAATAGCTCAGCGCTGGAGCCTAGGGCGGTGAAAGGAAAAAAAAGGTGGTGGGGGGGACTGAACCGAAGGGAAAACTCAACAGAGTTTGTTTATAACCCTGTAACAAAGGGTGGGCGGTGGGGGGGAATCTTTGTGCAGAACAAGCTGGAGGAAGCAAAGAGCTGGAAATAAAGCATTTCCTCTGCCCCTTTATCCTTTAAATAAAAAGCTTCAGAACAAAGCCTCTGTACAGAGCGGAATTAGCCCTTTTTGCAGTTAAAGAGAAAGCAACCACCAGTGGCCCTTTGGTGCCGAGCGCTGTGCCTCCGCAGCATCCAAACCTAGCGTGTGAGCGGGCAGCTTGTCAAAGCATCAGTTAACCCTTGCAGGGCAGAAGGATGCCTACACTAGCGATCCGTGATACTTACGTGGGCCCTGTTACAGTAAAGCGAAGTCCCAGCCTAGGGAATAACTACAGATCTTTCCTTTCCTTTCCCACAATGAAATAGAATGGCCAGACTGGGTCAGTCCAAGGATCCATCTAGCCCAGTATCTTGTCTGTCGACAGTGGCCAATGCCAGGTGCCCCAGTGGGAGTGAACAAAACAGGGAATCATCCAGTAATTCCTCTCCTGTCCTCCATTCCCAGCCTCTGACAAACAAGGACTAGGAACACCATTCCTTCCCATTCTGGCGAATAAGTATTGCTAGACCTAACCTCCATGAATTTATCAAGCTCTTTTTTGAACCCTGATATAGTCTTGCACTTCCCAACTTCCTCTGGCAAGGAGTTCCACAGGTTGACTGTGCTCTGCGAGAAGAACTCCTCCCTTATGTTTGGGTTAAACCTGCTCCCTATCAATTTCATTTGGGGACCCCTAGTTCTTAGGTTATGGGAACGAGTAAATAACTTCTCCTTATTTGCTTTTTCCACACCGGTCATGATTTTATAGACCTCTATCCAATTCCCCCTTTGTCTCTTCTTTTCTAAGGTGAATACCTTTCAAACATGGGGCGCGGGTGGAGGTAGTTGATTGAGAGAGCTGCAGCAGTGCTGTAAGCACACGGCAGCGTGAAAGAGCTGCCGCAGCAGCGCTTTAAACTTACAAGTGTAGAACAAGTCTCAGTCTCTCTATGCCTTGTTTCCCTGTCTGTAAAATGGGCATAATAGTGCTTCCCCGTCTCCTAGGGGTTCAGGTTGTGAGGCTGAGGTACGGTCCTAACAACAGGCCATAGGAGCTTGGGGAAATCAGCTGGCTGATCTGGGGGATAGTTTCTCCATCTCCAAAACAAGGATGAAAATTCCACCCATTTCCCAAAGTGGTTGGAAACCTGCAGTCGTTTATATAAGGACAAAGCATTTGATTCCTGCTCGGGGTGAATCGCAGCAACAAAACGCTATCGCAGGCAGCAGCTAGGAGCCCGATGGAGATTGTGACGCCAGAGGCTGTGTGCATGCAGTCAGACAGTCCCTGCTCGGAGGAGTCCATGCGTTAATAGTCAAGACGGATGAAAGCAGCCATTACGACCCCCTGCGTTACCAACAGGGAGTGGAGACAGAGAGGCTGCGGCGGTGAGAAATCTGTTACTGAGCTGGGGCTTGAGCCAAGATCACCTGTGTACCCGGCAAATGCCGTAACGACGAGACTTTTCCTCTTCTCTAAGCCAATTCTGCCCCTGGCTGTTCAGGCTCTTCTTTCGGAAATGTATTTTGTTCCCTTCACTCTAGTGTGATAACATCCTCGAGGTTGAGCAATGTTCCCTCTCATCTCCATCCAGGTGTGGATTTTCCCCAGCCCTGTGCAGAATAATTTCAGGTGCACCAAGGCATGTGCAAATGTGTACCACCCATAGAAACTAAAACACTAGAGGGAACCCTGGATCGGTAACATTTGAACAAGGTGCCTTGTTAGAAGGCTGGGATGGACTAGATAGATCGGGGTGGGCAAAAGGGCCTCCGTGGGCCGGATTCAGCCTGCCAAGAGCCACCCTTGGTGGCCCTGGCATATGCCAGCCGCAACTCTTTAATTTTGAGGCACACCTGCTCCTGGGTGCGCCTGTGTCCCTTGTGGGCCATGGTGGCTGCTATGCAGCCATAGCCAGGCGCGTTTCTCTGCCTAGTGCAGAGATTATGGACATTGGGCTCCGCCCTGCAAGCAGTGTGCGGTGCTTAATTGGCCTAGGGGCAGGGGAGGGAAGGAAGTCTCCTCCCATGCCAGGGGCATGGGCACTGTGGGGGATTGTGGGGTGGGGGCAAAGGCACCCTCAGACCAATCATTCTCTGGGGGCGGGGAACCCGGAAACATCTCAGCCCCGCCCCTTCCGCTCAATGCCCCGCCCCTTCCACTCGATGCCCCGCCCCTTTTGCTTGATGCTCCGCCCCTTCCCGTGCAGCCCGGGACCACTTCACAAATTTCCAAGTGGCCCCTAGCAAAAACTTATTGCCCGCCCCTGGGATAGATGCTAATTTCGTGATAGTTATGAATAACTAACCCACTCACAAAGAACTGACTCCATAGATCTGAAGGGTTCAAAGTTAACCCTGCAAAAACAGAAGCTCTTTAATTGGAAGAGGGAACATAGTTGAGGAGAGCAGAAAGAATTTGTTTCTCTTAGGGTTTTATGAAGATGATGCTAGAAACGGCGCCTTGCTGGTTATAACAGATTCTTATTTAAATCTCTCTGCTTTAAATGAAGAGATGGAGGCTTGCCTTTGCGATGTTTTTCAGTGCGCATAGGAAATGTTTTGTGTATTGTAATTGATTTATTTTGTAATGCAATATTGTCTAACATTCGCAGACTCATTTGACTAAATTATTCATCAGCATTTTTTTAAATAATGCAACAACGTTCTCTTGCAAATTCCACTTTCATTTCTCGCTGCTTGGGCCAAGGATGGAAAAGAATCGGCACTGGGGAGGGGGATAAATCTTTCTTATGTCTTGCTCCGAGTTAACTGCAGTGTCTGTCGCTGTCTGGGTCCCACACAGAGCTGTGTGGCACACGAAAGCTTGTCTCCTCCATGAGCAGAAATTGTTCCACTAAAGATATTCCCTCACTCACCATGTCTTGCTCCAAGGTAGTTTCAAGTGACTTACTGGCTGTGGGGCTTAAGACGCTTGTTAAGTAGGCAATTACTAGAACCCATAGTTAGAATCTTGAAGTCAGGGGAATCGCTCCCATTAAAGCAGGCATTTGTGTAGTTGAATATTTGGGCATAATTTCCCAGTAAATTCAGGGCAATTTCTAGCCCCTTTTAAGGTGTACGGTGAACCTTCCACTGGCTTCCGGGGAGCCAACTTTGGCCCCATATATCTTGAATCCTCTTCTTTATACCAGTGTATTCCTGGCTGACTGCATGGAGAGCAGCAGGCAGATCTGGTGCAGGGAGTCCTGTATGGGTCTGGAGGGAACTATAAAATCAGTGCACGGCCAGTTTGGGCCCATGGAAGATCTGAGCCTGCACCAAAGGAGGCAAGGAAGAGGAAACGGAAAACGGGGCAAGGACCACCGCTCCCCACCTCTTGCTCATATTGGCTGGGATTTTCAGTGGTGCCTAAGGGAGCTAGGTGCCTGACACTTTGAAAGTTCATAGGATTTGGGGGAGAGGAGAATCAAAGGCATCTAAGTGACCATTGGGAAATGTATTTTTAAATCCCTTGGGAACTCTCGAAAAAAAATCATTCCTGGGTGCCTAACTCTCTTAGGTTCATTTAACAATCTCTCCTGTTCATTCTTAGACCCAGCTACGGATTGGGGGTCTGCAATATTGCTGTTGACATGCCAACTCCTTTCTGTGAAACTCCAGCAAAAACGACCGGCTTGATCCTGCTATTCATTGTACAGGAACGTCTCCCAGTTGTGCGTTAAACCAGGTGACTAACGCCCGTTGTGGGTGTTCATCCATCTCTGCCTTTCATGGGGAGGGAACCGTGCGTGAGTAGTTACGTAGGAGTGGTTTTTATTTTATTGTTTTAAGTGTGCACAGTAGTGTGTGTTGGAGAAGGCCAAGTCAGAAGTACGCCATCCGTCTGAAGGTGGTGAAATCTGTGATGATCCTCGTAGTTCCCAGAAGAGTTTGTTGCATCTCTTTGGAGTATTCCTAAACAAAGCTGTCTCTTGTCTTTGTGCTCTGGTGAGCCCCTTCAATAAACAACGGGAAGAGAGCTTTCGAAGGGCCGAGAGATGAATTTCAAGGCAGAGTGATGAAGAAGACTTTCTTTCCAGCGCTTTTGAACTTCCATCGTATTAGAAATCCCAGTGGCAAATAAAAGGAAGAGAACAAGGTATTTTGCCTTTGAATCAAGGAACTAAGTCGGCTTTCAAAATTTTATTTGAAGTAAATAAAACGAGATTTGGGGGTTTGTTTGTTTGTCATTTGTTTACTTACGAGAGGGTGAAAATCTTGCCCCGGTTCAAGGATGAGACATCGTCTCTCCCCTTTCCAGTTCTAGTCTGCTTGGGAGCAGAGCAGCCAGTGTTAAAAGGAGGAAAGGACAGGGCCTGGTGCTCTTAGAAAATGGGCAAAACATGCTATTCTCTCATAAAAGAGATGTTCTCTCTCTCTCTGCATGCGCTACAAAGAGAGCATGCAGTGCTCCTGCTTCATTTGCATTCCTGTGTAGCTGTTACTGTTTTCAAGTCCCAGGATGTGATGCTGATGAAAGACAGTTAATTCAATTTCTACAGAGAAATTGATTAATGGACTGGATTAAAATAAATCCCCGGTGTCCTGGGTCTCCGCAAAGCATACCAATTCCATTTTATCTCCCAGTTCCCTCCTTCTCGCCTGCCACTTTGACAATGGGTTGGGGAAAAAGAAAAGGGATCGAAAGGAAGGGTGCTTAAAAAAAAAAAAGAGGAAGAGAGATGAGAAATGGCAGATTCCTGATAAAAGACGTCTCTGTATTTCGTTAGCTTGATTAATATTTTTAAAAGAATTCCCTAGGGGGTTTGCTTGTAAACTGTTCTTGGGTTTGTTCTAGCTACTTCTCGTGAGTTTAAAAAAAAAGGCACTTAACATGCATATGCAGGAGACAGAGCTCAGGGACTTGGGTTCATAGTAGAGAGATTCTTTGCTACCTCGACAGGTGCATCTGCACGGCAAACCAAGGTCTGATAGATGTCTGTGAGTTCATGAGGCTTGTCATAGCAACGCTCATAGCAACGCACATAGCAGCATGGTCATCTTGCCATGGACTTTACATACTTACTGCTGTTGCTAGAGCTATTGCCACCCTATTCACCCTGCGAATGTTAGACATGCTGTAGCAGTCACAACTGGTGTGGACACTCTGCCCAAATGGCAGACCCGCCTTAGCTTGCAGGCTAGCAGCCCTCTAAGGCCAGGTCTATTCTAGACCCGGAAGGTCGGCTTAAGACATATAAATAAGCCGTCTCCACCGTGGGAAGCCAATGGGAGCCAACGCTCCTGCCAACTTCCCTTGCTCCTCCCAAATCGAGGAGCATCGGTGTTGACGTGCAGCGCCTTCGGTGTTCCGTTTAGTGGGTCTAGACTGCAAGCTTCTTTCAAAAGAGAGCGTCCACACCTCAACACTGGATCGAAAAAGCAATCTGCTTTTTTTAAAGAGAAGAAAGCCCTGATTGCTAGGCACAGAATGGCCACCAGGGCACCTGTGCTCCTTCTTTCGAAATATAGCTCTGTGCTGCATCCACACCCGCCTTTTTTCGAAAGGCGTGCGGACGCAGGTGACGTTTTTTTTTAAAAAAAGGCAGGTTTTTAGTGAAAGAACAATGTAGTCTAGACATACCCTCTGTATTTTGCAGGGGAGGTAGATCCAGGTAGGCCAGTGGGCTGTGTGCTTGTGTGGGGGCAAATTCTGTGCCTGCCTGATGTTTGCGGGGCAGGCAAGGGGCAGCAGGACCGTGGCCGAGCTGGCCGGGACTGCTGAAACCAGGACTGTAATGCAGAGCTGTGAGGGGAGGCTGGACTAGAATGGAAAGCGGCATACGTCTGAGTTATTTAACGTCGCCTCCCTTGACTCTGCTTGCACAAGACTTGACCTCCATGGTGAGCCAGGATGGGAGCCGGGGCAAGCTGGCCTGCCTGAGTACCTCTGGAGCCACAGCTTCATGGGGGCTCAGCTTGGCTTTCCCCCCGAAAATCCCAGGATCTGAAAGATGTAAAGGCCACGGGGACTAACAAGCGTCCAGCGTTCGGGAGGAGGCGAATTGGGTGCAAGCAAATGCTGCTTTTTCTCCTTTCCACGACGCAAGGTAAAGTGCTGCAGGTTCCTTATACCCTCTCTCCTAGGTGTAGCTGCGCTCTTTGCTCCTCTTAGCTGTTGGGCAAGGCAGCCCTTGAGGGAAGGCCCTCGGTTCCCCATCTCTTTCGGCAGGCGCACGTCCTTGAGGGCTTGCCCCGATCTGCTCCCAGCTCCGCTTTGCAGGCAGACAAACCCTGGGCACGAGCCATTTGCCAGCTGAAAGGGGCGTGTCGCCGAACGGAGGCGGTACCTCTTGCACGCCGGTTCAGCCGTTCGCGTCCGTCGGCCATTGCGCCTCCCCAAAGAAGTGCGCCGGAGTTGTTTGTCCATGCCCTTGGTTTTTGCCATCGCCTCTTTTGATTCTTTAGCAGAGGGATCGAGTATTGCTCTGTTTCAGCTGCAGCGGGGTACCAGATATCCAGGGATGTGGCTGCTTTCTTCTAAGGCACGACTCTTCCAGGCCACTCGTACACACTCAGACAGATGGCCGGGGCTTTTACTGCTCGCCCAGTACTATCATTACCGTTACCTTTGAGCAGGCTCTCCAACCCGTAGGATTGTAGCCAGCGAGGAAGGCTGGATGGGTCTGGTTTCCGTGATATTCTGCTCAAGTGGCTGCGGAGCATCCCTCTTGGAGAATGTCTGGGAGGAGAAAAGCATTTACGAGTGGGTGTATTTTCTCATAAACTCTTGCTTTCCAAGGGCTAGCGTAACCCACGCACCTTCTGGGTACGGTGCACTGTCCCATCAAGTGGCCCCGAGGCCACTTAGAGAATAACGAGTTTGCTCTACAGCGTTGGCTGAGCGCCAGCCTGCTTTTAGCTCATGTAGCAGAGGCTCACAGAGTACTAGAACTGGAAGGGACATTGAGGGACATCAAGACCAGTCCCCAGTCCTCACCACAGGGCCAAGCACCATCTAGATCAGCTGTTTAGTGAACCTGTACTAAGCTCCAGAGGTCTCAAGTTCGATTCGGTCTGTCGGTGTTACACTAGTGGGACAGAAGCTTCTGGGATGATAGCTGTTGAGGTTTTAGGATTGTGGGGATGCTCTGTCAGCCTCTCCAGGATTTTGGGGTGACCAAAGGAGATATACAGACCTCTGAGAGTCCATACCAGGTGTCACAATGAGTCTAGGTTATTCTGGGCCAGGACTTTGGAGGTGGGGGGTTGCTGTGGTATGCTTAAAAGAAGCACACGGGATCTTTTTCAGGGGGATACAGTAACACATTGCATTTACAGGCAGTCCCTGGGTTACATACAAGATAGGGACTGTAGGTTTGTTCTTAAGTTGAATCTGTATGTAAGTTGGAACTGGCGTCCAGATTCAGCCGCTGCTGAAACTGGGCCAGGACTTTGGAGGTGGGGGGTTGCTGTGGTATGCTTAAAAGAAGCACACGGGATCTTTTTCAGGGGGATACAGTAACACATTGCATTTACAGGCAGTCCCTGGGTTACATACAAGATAGGGACTGTAGGTTTGTTCTTAAGTTGAATCTGTATGTAAGTTGGAACTGGCGTCCAGATTCAGCCGCTGCTGAAACTGATCAGTTTCAACAG